AAGAGAAAGTTCTAACAAATTTCCTCTTTGAATTTTTTGTTTTTTTTGTATATATAGACCAATGTATTCATCATTTAAAATTTGAAGTACAATCAAATTGATTTAGTAGGAACTTGATGGGAAAGGAGGTCTTCATGGTCAACTAGATCAACCAGTCAATACGCTGACTGAATTTTATCATTTATTGAGAAAAATGGGGTCACCTTAATTTATTGGGTAAATTACACTTATCAATTTGGAGATTTATAAAAAAAATATATCAAATTTCATAATTTTAATATAATTATGTCAAATTTTTATAATATTTTAATTTACATGACATTTAATTCTATTTTTTTAATAATTTGTTAGTCATAAACTGATATGTCATCTCTTTTACATTGATTTTTTTTATTACTGTATCTTGTGATGAATTTTTTTGTTAGTCGGGAAAATATATTTATTGATTATTGTATTTTGTGATGAAAATTAAGAATATTTGTGGTGTACGTTGTGTCACTTACTCTATGATAAAAGTTACAAATGGTGAATCTATGATGCACACAACTAAAGCAAAATTTATAACCATTGTGATTATGTATATTACAAATAATTTATGATGAGAAATGTTAGGAATAATTTTGGTTATAAAATTACAACATATTATTTAGTGTTTGTTTTGAAAGGCTATAATTATATTATACATATTGTAATAGAATACATATGATATACACCTTGTGAAGGAGGCACATTGTTGAGAAAATATTATTTTGCCCCCAAAGCTATTACTTAAAAATCAAATCAATTCTTATTCTTCTAATAAAATCAATTTTACATATAAACTATTTAATTTTATCCTCACCATCAATTGTCATCTATAATTAAATAGAAGTTGTTCATATGACCCTCAAATTCATTTTACCTTCTAAACTATTTCTAAAATAACAATTACACCCCTGGACAAAATGAAATTTGAGGGTCTAATTAATATTTTATAGATAATTTGGGGGACGAAATGAAGTTGTAAATGAAAACATGATGCCAAGTTAGCAAATTCTGTCTGATCATAGACACCAGTTGACAACGGGGTGAAATTGATCCAAAATTGAATGGTTTATGTGTAAAATTCATATAATCGAAAGAATGGATGTTGAATTGATTTTGAGTGATAGTTTGGGGGCAAAGTAAAACTTCCTTCACATTTTTTAAAGGAGGGTTGAGCTTCTCCATGGAATCCATTACGAGTTTCGTTTCAATGATTCTAATTATTTATTTTGTAGGGTCTTTAATGTATATTATTTATACATAAAAATTAAGTTGAACCAATAATCATAATATTTTTATTTTATTACTTTTGTTTTCGAAAAATTAAACAAATATATTTATTAAAATAGACTATTTATTTTTTTTTTAAAAAATAAGATAAAATGAAAATATTATAATTATTGAATCAATTTAATTTTTTTTATAAATAATATACACACAAAAATTTATAAAATAAATAATTCAAATCATTAAAATAAAATTCATAATAAACTCTACAAGCCAAAACAAAACCATAATAAAATCCACCAAGTAATGTTAGGAATCATGGAAAAAAATAATATGAAAATAATCATGAAAGATTCTTCATCGTTAAATTACACATATAACAAAATACCGCACACAAATCAAAAAATAAAAAAATTTCATAAAATATTTCATAATATTTATTTGATAATCCCTAATATTATTCAAATCTTCTCTCAAGACAACGCAGTTCAACAACCCTAATTTGATAATCCCTAATCCCTAATATATTCAATACAGATTAACATTTTTATTATGTGAATGTGAAGGAATTTAGTGAACTACTTTTAAAAGGAGTATATATATAAAAATTAAAAAGATGGGAGTGATGGGCATTGGTATCATTGTAAGAGATTTCATGAGAAATGGCATCAAGCAGTGAGGGAATTGCAAATGAATCTGTTGTGGACAATATTAAAGTAGTTGGGGTGTACAAAGTTGTGTCTTTTGCCAATGTTTTGAATTTGTTGCATACAAGCTAAGGGATATTTACTTTTAACCAAACAAATTTGTTTTAATGAAGAAAATTTATCATCTATTGGATAGCATACAAGCTAAGGTATTTACTTTTAACCAAATAAATTTGTTTTAATGAAGAAAATTTCTAAATATATTGGGAATCATACAAGCTGAGAGTAGTTACTTTTAACCATACAAATTGGTTGTAATGAAAAAAATTTCTCATCTATTAGGAATATCATTGCTGATCTGATATTAAAGATTGGATGGGAGTTTTAAATCTGCTTGTATTCACAACAAAATGCTAGGAAATGAAACTGCCCATCTATGGTCACTTTGAATGGAAGAGGTTCTCATTGAGGTTGTTTCTTGTGTCCATTCTGATTTTTTCTGTAATTTATAAATGAAATCATCTTTCTACATAAAAAGAATTTTTTTAATTCTTCTACACATTGTTTTTAAATCGTTACATTAGTAGAAGAGTTCCATCATTCCATACCTTTTCATCCGTAGCATTTATTAGTACAATTTACCTTTCTTACATCTCTAAAATTTCTAACATATTCGCATTTCATAGAAACCCAATAAATATATTTTCCACTGCAAAATCGCTTGGGTGCCCCAAAAAGCAAATGAGGGTCATTTTATTAATAAAATCACAACTTTTTCCTTTCCCTGAGCAAGGCCAAAAGTTTCCACTGAAGCGTAGCCATAATAATAATAGTTAAATAAGAAAAAAAAAAAGAAAAGCTAAGAGAGATGGTTGTCTTGCAATATATGAACTTCAAATCACTCATGCCAGTTCCAATAATCCTTTAGGCTTCGTCAAAATCCTTTAAAAACCTATATTCCTACCAAAAGAAATATGTCAATGTGAAATGTAATACAAAAAAAAAAAGAAAAAGAAAAAAAAAGCTGGCTACCACAGAAGTACAAAATTTTAACATATATAATGTAGTAAATATTTTCAGTAACATTTTCTAACAAATCTAACCCCAACAAAAAATCTCATTCTAGCTCAATAAATCAGATTCAAGCTCCCCAAACAAAGATTTGAAAATGTTAAGGCAAAAAATAAAAGAAAAGGCTCGTCAATGGACCTGCACAGCCCTTTCAAACCTCCAAAACCTGAAAATTTTCCAATTGAAAACAAAAATACAATATCTATGTTTACAAAGATTGACTAATAAAATAACCATGTCTGCTGTAACGGTAGCTAAGATGCTATTTTTCATTCGTTTTTTCCAGCTATCATGGAGAAAAAAAAGCTAGTATGAAGATGGCATCCGAACATGATAAAAAATAAAGAAATATAAATGCAAGGTGAGTGGACACAAGTAGGCGTAGCAATAACTCTTAAGTCCTAACATTATCAGTAGTATTTCAATTTTGAAGTGATAAATTACAATTTACAATAAGATACTTGGTCTGAAAACTTTTTTAAAAAAATGTACCTAACATTAATATCAACCCCAAAGTCAACAACCCTCCTCCACAATACAAAAACAAATATACTATTCCAAAAACAAATCATTCTAGAAAGTTAAGTAATCTAAGCTTTCCAGCTAATTCATAAAATACAAAAACAACAAATCTTATCAAGCAAAGGATACCAATTAATGTAATTCACTAATAACATACCAATAACATACCAAAGGGCACCAACTAATGTACTCCAGAAAAAATTCTTATCTCCTAACTCTCACCAACAACATACCAATGGCATGGAAATTCAGTAAAATCAAAGGACACCAACTAATGTACTCAAAAAAAAGTGCAACAAATAATAAAAAACCAAAATATCTAAATATAAACAATTATTATGAAACCAACTCTACTTTGCCAACTGTTAGTTTGCGATTGTTTCTCTCTCTCTTTGTATGGTTCTTTTCACAACAACAACAAACTAAACTTATCTCGCTAATAAAAAAAACAAAGAACCACCAAAAATGCATGAATACCTTATTTTGATATCATCGAAGCATATAATTCTACCATTTGAATATATTGTTGGTGAGCTATTTTATTTCTCTCATTTGGTGTTATGATGAAGTGCCAAAGCATGGGAAAGTGCTGGAAGAGGTTTCCCTTTTCACGACAGGTAAACTTAATAATTTCTTTAATTATATATATATACTTTTCAAAAGGGTCTGTCAGTTTATTCTAAGCTTACCTCAGTGCCTCCCAGGTAGCGAATGTGTAGTGTTTATCTTTTTTATTTCAACCTGAAATAAGAAAGAGTTAGGCAATGGAGAGAGATCAACAGATTGATTTCCACTAAGAGCAACTGAATCTTAACCAAAAGTAGTGATCTAAAATCTATTACATATAAAAAAACCAGACTGGAAAGCAAAGCATGCAAATCAACTTTGAAAACAACTAGGTGTGCAATTCCAGTCTCTTTCTGGTTGTTCACTATTTTCAAAACATTAAAATGGACTGAAACTGCAATTCTACTATCAAAATCTAATTACTCACCAATATCACTATAAAAGTACTATCATCCACCATTACAATATGCACTGTCACTCCATTCAAACAAAATCTTTCAACCTATATTCATTACAATACATAGTGCCCCTCACCAAATCCCAATTCCCCTCACCTTGAACACTGTTAAATAATTATGAAAGTGGACCTATAAGTCAACATGTTTAATGAAAACAGCAGGGGAATTTTAAATTGTTCCTCAACTTCAAAGTCAATTAACTGAAAAAATTCAAATCCTAACCATTAACATAAATAAACCATTAATTTGAAAACATCTTTAAAATAAAAAAACCCAATTAACTGATGAATTTACCTTTTATAGCTATGAATTTTATAAAGTAAAAATAAAACAAAGTAAGTTCCATCTTTCTCTCTATAACCATAATTTTTCCAGTTAAAACAAACAAAAAGACAATTTTATAAAAAGAAAAACAAAGTAGCAATCTTTCAGCAAATCAACAATAGCTAAAGATACAATATTAAATAATAAATAACATATCTTCATAATTGTGATTAATTGGTGATCATACGAGATTTTGTTTCTCATGACACATACAATTTCAAGGAGAAGGTTATCTTAAAAAAAATAAAAATAAAAATATTCAACCCTCCATTAAGATAACCCAAAGCATCGTCAACTTTCGAACAGAACAATTATCTAGACGTTCAAATGTGACTTTAATCAGTAGTAATAGTTTAATTAAATCAAAGATCACAATCCGATTAAACATAGCTCAGGAAACCACCAGGAACATAAATGGCTGAAATACCAATGTCCCATATTTGAACAAAACAGAAAGACCAAACCAAATTCACAACTCAAAAGGCTTTTCTTTTTTTTTTGTTGTTCCGTCCCTCGTGAAAAAATTCTAAATAATCTTACCAATGGGGTTAGAGAATACTTCCGCCTCAACTTGAAAAGCACGTGTAGACGCCTTTAGATCCCTTTTACTCTTGTAAACACCATTAAATAAACACAAAATTCTATGGATTCAAAACCAAAGGTGTCAGTAACAAAATTCTCTACCTGAATTTTCCAAGTGATGGCAATGGGCTATTAGCTGCAAACATCTCAAATAAATTAATTAATAAGTACAATGGCTTCAACTAGATAAATATCCCAAATACTTGACAAAAGTTCATTGATGAGACTAATATACATTTCGAATATTTAGATTTAAGATTTCAAACAATATGCCCCTAATTTCAATATCCATCAATAGATCAATTGCATTTTCAACAATACAAAAGGAAAAATATCCAAACTATACATTTAAATAGATCAATGTCCAAAAAATTCAATATTTTTGCTAATAATCAATTTGAATGATTCTTCAAACATAATATTTTCCTAGCAAACATAATTAATGACAAAGGAACTTGAACATAATAATGAACACCTATTACATCCATTAATTATTTTCAAATAATATAGTCGTGTTAATCTTGACTAATTGTTCAAGTAGTCCTTCATTCAGTTAGTTGAGCAAAATTTGAACTCTTCCATGGTTATCCACACAACTATTCACAAAAGGCAATGAAGTTGCCACAACACATAAACAATGAAAATTTTCCTTTGTAGAACCATAATGATAATGATAACAATAACAAAACTTCAATAGCAGTTATAACACATCATCTAACACATCCAAGTAGTGGACCTACCAAGTCTAGAGCAACTGGAGCAACATAGATTCAACTACAAAACATTAAATAACATAGACAATCAAGGCTCAAATGGTCTTCCAAAACACATAATCTCATAAATTACACCTAAACAAAAAATGAATTCTTTCTTCAAAGGAAATGAGACTGCATGAAGATGGGTTTTTTACTTAATCATACAAAAAATTCATGTCCTCTGCTTGAAAACCCTAAATTTGAAAATTTCCTCTCAACACAGATAAATCGCAAATTATAACAGCAAAAGGATGGGCTTTGAGCGATTATGAACTAAATATATACCGGTTTGTAATCGAGCTCGAACACATATAGGGTTTCGTTGTCAGAGCAGGGGGTTGGGCGTTATCGACCGGAGAGAAAGGTGTGGGACTTACTTGGAGGTGGTGATGGTCAGTGGCGATGACCGGAGAGAGGCAGAGCGTAATTTCTCAAAATGTTTAGGGCCAAAGAAAAGGTCTAGGGATTTGTTATAGCGATCCCGGTTGTCCCTTTACTATTCTGTCGTATTCCGGACTCGGTTCCGTGAAGTTGGTAGTGGTATCCATCTTGTTGTCGTCCTTTAATTCAACTTGATTGAGTTTTAGGATGTTTTGAGCAGGGTTGTTACAGGTTGGTTAGGCCTTGGTTTCAATTCCTTGTTGTTCAGTTTTTAGGCGGTCCGCTCGAGCGGGTCTTCTTGCGCTCGAGCGGGGATTGCACACCTCCAGTATTTTCGTGTTCCTGCAAAACTTTTGTAGATGTGATTTTACGCTCGAGCGGTAGCACTCGAGCGGGTTTGGTGGCGCTCGAGCGGGTAGTACTTTCTGGGTATAAGTTCTGGGAAAGGGAGATCTACGCTCGAGCGGACTGGTTTTCGCGCTCGAGCGGAAGTGCTTTATTCTTGTGTCTTGGCGCTCGAGCGGGCCTTATTGCGCTCGAGCGTGTTCAGATTTTGTTCTTGACGCTCGAGTGTTGTGTTCTCCGCTCGAGCGGGTCATGCGTATATGAGTTATCCGCTGGGTGATTTTAAATCACTTTTTGCTTTTCTTTCTCTCTCCTACTTTTTCTAAAACTCATTTTGAGAGCTCCTCTCTCTAAAACCTTGACTTCTCTCTAAGTATTGATCTAGTAGGAGTGAGTTCCTTCTCTTCGGCCTTTGTAAAAGTTGTGTTGATCGTCGAGGGCGTCGTTTTGATCCGAGAATCTTGGTCTTTGGAGCACTTTGGTTTTGGCCTCTTCTCCATTCGAGCTCTAACTTTGAGGTAGGGATAACCTACTCCTTACTATGAGCTTTGTCTTTAAATTTTAGTATTTTGAGATGTTGGGGTTGGTTTGGTAATTTTATGAAAGTTTGGGGCTTTTGTGTAAATTTACAAAAAGTTGGGGTTTTTATTTATATAAAACCTAGATGCATGTTTGGCATGGACAAGTGAAATTAATGTTAAAACATTAAGGAAAATGGAACCTAAGGGTTGTAATGTTAATTATGGAATATGCCCTAATTACATTGGTTAATTAATTTGCATAATTAATGAGGAAGAAATGAGAAATTGATTTGGAAATGCGTGAAGTTAAAAGGGTGTAGTTGGATTATTTATCACTCATCTGGTTGAAATGTTGATTATATATATGTATATATATATATATCCGTTGTTGCATTTATTTTCTGTATAGAAATAACTGCTTTGGGCTATCGGTGGAGGATAGTCTTGATTGTTGTAGACAATGCATGATGATTAGGTAAACTAAAACTAATCACTGGAATGTGTCATTGAATATGACGGTTGAAAGGATACATTAAATGTATGTGTTGTGTGACGATGTGTATAATGATTGTTTATATGCATTGTGTTGTGTTGGAGGAGATAGGGGATGTACTCCACGGTTTAGGGGAAGATAGGGGATGGACCTCTAAACCGGATGTTGTTGGGAGGAGATAGGGGATGGACTCCATAGATAGAGCTCATATGCTTATCTAGTGATGTATTGACAGAGCTCATATGCTTGTCATTGGAAGTGTGATAGTGCTCATATGCATATCTGTGGAAGTGATGATATAGCTTGTATGCTTATCTGTTGTTGTGTGATATAGCTAGTATGCTTATCTATTATGAAATGGGGAAGTGCTTGATATGAGTTACTATCTCATATGAGTTGTTTGGCCAGGTTCTGAGCCATGGTTGTAATAATGGAAAGTGAAATGTGTCTTAGACATTAGTGTCATGAGACTGTTTAATGATAAAATTGATTATCTTGGTTAACCATCTATTGAATGCTATTGCTTTATTCATTGCTTATATTTGGTTTAGTATTTTTCTACTGGGCTGTGGCTCACCCTATATGGGAATATCATTTTCAGGTACAGGTAGCATGCCACCTCCAAGGTCATAGCTTGGGAGGCTAGATGCAGGCGGACTTTTGTTGTTTTATTTCTTTGATGTATTACATGTATATTCAAGCCAAGGGCTTAATGTGTAAATGAGTTAGCACTCTTTTGTTGTAACAAAGTGTTAACTTGGAAAGCTGTAAGCCTTTAGGGCATTTGCTTTTGTTGTTAACATGTAATACTTTTGGTAATGAAATTCTGATGAATAGATGAAAGTAGAGCTTTTATATATCAATGCATGTCTCTATTGATGGGTTTAATGTTATTATTTTGGGGGCGTTACATTTGTCAACAAAAATTAGGAAGGAATTTTGATTTGGACAAAATTTCGGGTGTTTGTTCCGAATTTTTGACAATTATTTGGGGGGAAAATTATGATAAAATTGATAATGTTTTTTAATAACAATTAAAAAAATCATGATTTGAGTGTTATAATACAATAAATTATTAATTTAAATCCAAAATTTTTTATTTGCTTTTAATATAAATTATTTGTCTATTTTTGTGTATTGTAGTCATCAACCACAAAATGTATAACCAACACTAATTGATGTAACAAAAATATCTAAATTTTTTAAAACCTACAAATATCGTAATCAAGTTACAAAATTTCGTAACATAAAACACAAAATACGTAACTATATCACTATTTGGCGTAACAAAATTATTCAAAATTATTAGAAATCACAAACGTCATAATTAAGTCACAAATTTTCGTAACATCAACCACAATAGTGATGAAATAGACAGAGAGAGCAGCGACAAACTCAAGGATCTGGTGTAGAGACACAGGAGTAGAGAGAGATGATCGAGGTTGAGAGAGTAAGAATTGAATGAGAAAGAACTACCAACATTGATCGTTCAATAATTTGAACGAAATAGAGGAATATGAGTGAGAAATAAAGAGAGTTGAGGCACAATCATGACAAATTGAGAGAAAGAAAAGATAATAGAAAAAGAAAAAGAAAAATAGTTGGGATATGTGTCATCTCAAACTCGGCCTAACATCGAGACTAATTTAACCATCCCAAGCCCGACCTTAAAACAATTAAAATTCCAAACCCGACCACTTAATCCAATAAATACAAACTATTAAAATTTTTTTTTATTTTCTTGAATGTGTATTAATTTATTTAAATCTTTTTATATATCATTGAATTTACAATGTTAATGAAATTAAATAATAAAATGAAAATGATTTTTAACAAATGTTTTAATTTAACTCCTACAAAGAGGTATATATATATATATATATATTTTGTCTTATATATATTTTTTACTTTGTTTTATAATTAAAATGTTATAAAATTATAATTATTGTTTTATAAATGGACCAACATGGCTATAACTCTTTATCCGAATCCTTGCTAAGGCAAAATTTCAGCCCACCCCTAGTATAATGTCACATTTTTTTTATTTACCCAAAATACCCTCGCATAATTGTCACTTGTAACTAACATGTGTCCTGTAAATAATTAAAATTATATTCAAATAAATTTTTTATTTTAATTGCATACCCATTGAGCGGCCACACACCACTAGTTATATACTACCCAAAATCATTTTCCAACCATTCTAGAACACATATGTGCACAAATTGAAAAAACCAATTTTGAACAAAAGTGGTGTGATTATGAGTCAAAAGATATTTGGTTATGAGGTATGTGATATTGATTATGATCAAAGTAGTGTGATTATGAGTTAAAGGATGTAACGCCCTCAAAATAATACATAAAACTTGTCACTAGACATGCAATTATATAAAAGAAAACAACCATTGATATTCATCAGAGTAGTTCTTACAGTAGTATTACATGTTAACAACAAAAGCAAATGCCCTATGGGCTTACAGCTTTCCAAGTCAACACCTGGTTCCACAAAAGAAGAGTACTAACTCTATACAAAATAAGCCCTTGGCTTGATATACATGTAATACAAACAAAATAAACAAAAGAGCCTTAAACTCTCATCATCATCCAAGCTATGTCCTTGGAGGTGGCATACTACCTATAC